CACTGTTAGTAGCATGAGAAATAATGTATATGATACCTTCAACATGCTACTTAAATCATAGGTGGGTACTTAATAATTGATAACTCCTTCTTTATTAAAGAAGCATACACATACAGCAAAATTTCAAAACACACACAAATTAGTATCACCATTTATAGTCTCACCATGAGGTTTTTAATTTTTTTGTTTTTTGAGATAGGGGTTCAGCCAAGCGTGATGGCTCAGACCTGTAATCCAACACTTTGGGAGGTAGAGGCAAGAGGATTGCCTGAGTCCAGGGGTACAAGACCAGCCTGGGAAACCTGGCAAGACCTAGTCTCTACAATAAATCAAAACATTAGCTGGGCATGGTGGTGTGTACCTTTAGTTCCAGCTGCTTGGAAGTCTGAGGTGGAAGGATCACTTGAGCCCAGTAGACTGAGGCTGCAGTGGCTATGAACATGCCACTGCACTCCAGCCTGGGAGATAGAGTGAGACACCTACTCAAAAAAAAAACAGAAGCAGGGTTTCACTCTGTCACCCAAGCTAGAGTGTAATGATGTGATCATAGCTCATTGTAGCCTCAAACTCCTGGGCTCAACTAATCCTCCCACCTCAACCTCCTAGTAGCTAGGAGTATAGGCATGCACAACCATGCCTATTTTTTAATTTTTATTGTTGTAGAGACAAGAGTCTCGCTATATTGTCCAAACTGGTCTTGAACTCCTAGCCTTAAACTATCCTCCTGCCTCAGTCTTCCCAAAGCACTGGGATTACTGGCATGAACCAACTCACCCAGATTTTTAATATTCTAATAAACATTAAAACTTCTACAGCTGGCCGGTCTCAGTGGCTCAGTGTGTAATTCCAGCACTTTGGGAGGCCAAGGCGAGTGTACTGCTTGAGCCTGCAGGTTCAAGGCCAGCCCGGGCAACTTGGCAAGACCTCATCTCCACAATAAAAATAAAAAAATTAGCCGGGTGTGGTAGTGCATGCCTGTAGTTCCAGCTACTTGGAGGGTTGAGGCAGAAGAATCGCCAGAGCTCAGCAGGTGGATGCTAGGGTGGCAGTGAGAGTGCTACTGCACTCCAGCCTGGGTGACAGAGTGAGACTCCAACTCAAAAATAATAATAATAATAACTTCTACAGCCTGGTCAATATCGCAAAACCTTGTCTCTACAAAAAAGAAAATTAAAAAATTAAAAATTAGCTGGACATGGTGGTGTGCATCTGGGTCCCAGCTACTGGGGATGCTGAGGTAAAAGGATCGCCTGAGCCCAGGAGGTCGAGGCTGCTGTGAGCCATTATCATTGTGCACTCCAGCCTGGGCAGCAGAGTGAGACCTCAACTCAAAGAAAAAAAAAAACCACTATTTTTGGAGAAATATCCAATGGTTAGATTAACTGTATAAGTGTTAAGGGCAGGATCATGTGGGTTCATTATATAATTCATCTGTATATGTACAAAACCAACTTTAGAGAATTTAGTCACTTCCACTGTTATTGTTTCAATCATTTTAGTTATTAACTTCCCCCTAAACCCAAAAAAAGATGACTTGGAGGGTATGGCTAGCTGAAGCCACAGACATTAAAGGTGAATTATACATTCACCATTAATTGTTCTATGCTAAATATATCTGAGAAGAAACCATGACTCTGTCATCTGACTTGGAGACATCTCCACATCGGGCCTGTCAAAGGTGGATCATTCTAGTAGCTCAATGCAAAAAACATGTCCTGGACTTCTCTGGATAAAGCATGATGCTAAGGACTACAGAAAATGGAAAATTTAATAAGTTAGGGCTCCTTATACAGCAGATGTGCCCCATTTTCACTTCCTCTAATTGTATCTTTTCCAAAATCTCATTCTCATCATCCAGCCCTTGACTATCACCTCCTAGCGTCCCAGGTCACTTCCTCTGCTGCCCCAATTCTCAATTCCTCTGCCCCTTGTTCTCTGTCATACTTGGCTAGCAAAACCTCAGCCCACCCCTACTCATATCACTCCAGTCATACTGACTTCTTAGCCATTTCCCAAAAACCTCAGGTACTTTCCTGTTTGTACTTCTGCTTCTTGTCCAAGAACACGTTCCAAAATAGATACATAGCTTGATCCTTTGCTTCTTTCAGGTGTCTGCTCAAATATCATCTATGTGACCACCACAGAAAAGCAGCAAACACTCCTGGCAGATACTCCCTTATTCTGCTTTATTTTATTCCACTATACAGTATTTATTGCCATCTAATATATTCCCATTTATCATTGATTCTAATATGCACTTCTAGTCTGGACACGGTGGCTCACACCTGTAATCCCAGCACTGAGAGGCCAAGGTAGGAGGACTGCTTGAGTTCAGGAGTTTGAGACCAGCCTGGACACACAGCAAGACCTCGTCTCTACAAAAAAAAAAAAAAAAAAAAAAAATCAAAAGATTAGCTGAGTGTGGTGATCCAGACCTATAGTCTCAACTACTTGGAAGACTGAGGCAGGAGGATTTCCTGAGTCCAGGAGGTTGAGGTTGTGCTGAGCTGTGAACAGGCCACTGCATTCCAACCTGGATGACAGAGCAATACCCCCAACTCAAAAAAAAAAAAAAAAAAGCACCTTTTTCCTGCATTGTAAGATGAATTCTGATTTTAGAAGTAGTAAAATAAAAAAGGTTCTACAATTTTGACCACCAGGTGGCAGTCATCAGGCATCATTGTACCTACTGCACAACCTTAAAAAAATAACCGTCAGTGATGATTCTTTTAAGTTAGGTACAGTTAACACAACATGTGCTGAGTTATCTGCCATTTAAAATATCTGTCCTAGGGCCCGGCTCAGTGGCTCAGCCTGTAATCCCAACAGTTTGGGAGGCCGAGGCGAGAGGATTGCCTGAGCCCAGGGGTTCAAGACCAGCCTGGACAACTTGGTGAGACCTCATTTCTACAATATATTAAAAAAATTACCAGGCATGGTAGCACGTGTCTGTAGTTCCAGCTAGTTGGAAGGCTGAGGTAGAAGGATCGCCGGAGCCCAGCGGGTCAACGCTGGGGTGGCCGTGAGCATGCCACTGCACTCCAGCCTGGGTGACAGAGTAAGTAAATGTTGTTTAAGTGCTATCTCAGGAAACAATTACAGTATGAACTGTGAGCTGGAAGGGACCAAGAAGTCTTTCAGTTCAATCCTCTGTCTTGTCTTGAATCCAGTCTGCAATATCCTTCAGAAACAGTATTTAGCCTAAATCACTAGAAATGAAGATGTCACACTTCACAAACTGTTCAAAAGCAGTTGAAGATAGGGGCCAGGAGGAGCTCAAGATAGAAGCTAACATTCAGAGAGATATTTAGAACCTCAGGCTTGGAAGTCAAGTGAATATCAATTAAATCCAATACCAATAATGTGGAACATGAAAGTACCACTGCGCCATAGGATCCATTATGACATAAACCCAGGGGAAAAGTAATGGGATGTTTTAAAATCATCCACAACTACAGAAACATTTAACTACAGAAAAGGGGACAGAATAAATCAACAAAAAATACTACTCTTTCTTCCCCAATCACCCACTCTTGACTCTCAACTGTCTACAGACTATTTTCATTTCCACATGACCCAGGAAAGAAAGATAAACTATTTATTTAGTAGCTACTACATGGTGATAGGCATTTCTGATGTATCATTTAATATATAAATAACCAGAGCTTTGCTGGTGACTGACCTTCCCCAGAGGTTCAATGGAACCTAGTTTGGCCTAGGATCAAATTTTATTCTAATATTTCGGAGACATCTGGAAGACAGCTGATGAGGAGGAAATAATAGAGACTTGACTAGACTGGGGTTCTGGTCTCGCAGTCATGTGATTCTACAAAAGTCACTGAAATTTCTGGGTTTCTTAAGATCTGCCCAACTACCTCATAGGCTGTGTAAGGATCCAAATGGGACTAGAGACGTAAAAGGATTTTGCAAACACGTGAACTGTTGTAGTGACATTGACCCCAAAGACCTCTTCAGTCCAGTGCAGAGCTTAGAAAACAAGCGTTCTAGGCATAAGCACTCACACGAGCTCAGCATGTTTGATGCACTGAGAGAAAGCAGTAGACCTGGAACACAATGAGGGAAGGTAAGAGTGTCAGGAGATGTGGATGAAAAGGTGGCAGGGCCAAATCCAGGACGGTCTTGGGTCATTAGAGGATATTTTCATAACCATGCAGCTCTTTTTTTTTTTAAACATGGTCTAATAAATGGAGCCATTTATGCAAATATCCAGTACAAAAGCAGAACACTTCCAACTTTCTAACTGAGCAACACCATCACCAAGAACAGGTACCCTATCCAAAGTCCACAGGCATAAAATTCTTAAGAACTATAATATTCTTTTATTTAGTTTTAGAGTCTCACTTTGTCAACCAGGCTGGAGTACAATTGACTGACAATAGTTCACTGTAATCTCAAACTCCTAGGCTTAAGCCGTCCTTCCTTCTCAGTCTCCTGAGTAGCTAAGATTACAGGTCCACACCACTACACCCAGCTAATTTTTAAAATTTTTTTAGAGATGACATCTCATTTTGTTGCCCAGTCCGGCTCCTGGCTTCAAACAATCTCCTTGCCTCCGCCTCCCAAAGGGCTGAGATTACAGGCGTGAGCCACCGTGCCTGGCTTAAGAACTATATCTAAACCAAGATTCTATTTATTTTGGTGTTTGGCAAGTCAAATAAATAGCCAAAAACTTCTTTATAGTAAGTAGAAATGAGAGAATTACAGAATATGAGTTTTGCATCAATTTAAAGTTTTTAACAGAAAAAATTATCAGTTCATTTAGTAAATAAGTATCAACACCTACTGTGTTGCCAGGCACGTTCTAAGCACTAGAGATACAGCAATGAACAAATCAGTGAAGATTTAACAATAATTGAGCAGAAGATGTGTTGAAGTATCATAAAACCAGGACTGAACCTCAACTTATTTTACATTTCTGCATTTTCCGGAAACAGGAGTTATATTCTCAGTCATATGTACCTGTCAGAAAACAAACTTACCAAAGAATTCTTAATCACTTCACTTCTATAAAACTCTGGAAAAGAAGAAAAAGAACAATAAGTGATATGAAAGAAAATAAGTTCATAAACTCTCGATCCTGTAAATTGCTAAACATATGTTCCAGTAAAACACTGAAGACATTTTCAAGGAATCTATGCTCTCTGTATTCTTATCTGTAAGTAAATAAATAAGTAGAAATAAAGATTAAATTAAAGTATTTTAAATATTCCCTCTACTAACCCTGCCCAAGTCACGTCACCTCCAGGCTGCTCTGCCACTGCAGAGCCTATAAGAGCCTTGTATCTGTATGTCATGTAGGATGATAGTTCCCACGTGCGATGCACACACCAAGAGTACTTGAGATGACTTGAAGTGATACAAGGACAAATATTATTCTTCTCTAATATTCTGAAATGCATGTCTTACATATCCTACCTGTCATTATAAGATCCTTGAGGGCAGCAGTGTTTGTTTTGTTCAACTGCTATCTTCTCAGCACCTAAAACCATTCCTGGCACATGGTAATGCTCAGCAAATATGTTTTATTAAACAAATAACTTCAGTAGGGTGCAGTGGCTCACATCTGAAATCCCAGCACTTTGGGAGGCTGAAGCAAGAGGATTGCCTGAGCCTGGACAATTTGGTGAGACCGCATCTCTACAATAAATCAAAAAATCAGCCGGGCATGGTGGCGCAAGCCTGTGTGGTTCCAGCTACTTGGAAGCCTGAGGCAGAAGGATCACCTGAGTCCCCTAGAGGTCAAGACTATGGTGGCTGTGAGCGTGCCACTGCTCTCCAGTGTGGGCAACAGAGTGAGACTCTAACTCAAAAAAAAATTTTTTTTAAACTTCATAGATTATACTTAGACATAAGTTTAAAAATAATGAACTTAAAGAAAACTACTAGGCCGGCACAGTGGCTCACACCTATAATCCCAACACTTTGGGAGGCAGCAGCGAGAGGAATTATATGAGCCCAAGGGTTCGAGACCAGCCTGGGCAATTTGGTGAGACCTTGTCTCTATATTAAAACAAAAAAAATATTAGCCAGGATTGTTGGTGTGTGCCTGTAGTTTCAGATTCAGATTCTTGGGAGGGTGAGGCAGAGAGATTGCCTGAACCTAGCAGGTCAAGGCTGTGGTAACCATGAGCAAGCCACTGTACTCCAGATTGGGTGACAAAGTGAAACGCCAACTCAAAAAAAGAAAAATACTGAATATGTAACAGAATAGATGGAACTAAAATATGGTGAAACATGTCAAAGTGGTACTAGTGATTAAAGTCTGAGAATCTTTAAGCAATTTTTAAAAAGTGGGCCTAGACATAAAAATCTTTGATTTGGATTTTTTTTGTTTTTGTAAGAGACAGGGTCTTGCTCTGTCACCCAGGATGGAATGTAGTAGCGTGATCATAGCTCACTGTAACTTCAAACTCCTGGCTCAAGTGATCCTCCAACCTCAGTCTTCCAAGTAACAAACTCCTGGCTCAAGTGATCCTCCAACTTCAGTCTTCCACGTAGCTAGGTCTATAGGCATACAACCACTACACCTGATAAATTGTCTTAACATTATTTGTAGAGACAAGGTCTCACTATGTTGCCTAGACTGGTTCGGAAATCCTGGTGTCAAGCAATCCCCAAAGCATGGGGATTGCAAACATGAGCCACTACATCTGGTCAAGACACAAAATTCTTTTTTTTTTTTTTGAGTTGGAGTCTCACTCTGTTGCCCAGACTGGAGTGCAATGGCCGCTCCTGGCCACCGCAGTCTCGACCTACTAGGCTCCAGCAATCCTTCCGCCTCAGCCTTCCAAGTAGCTGGAACTACATTACAGGCGCACACTACCACGCCCGGCTGATTTTTTATTTATTGTAGAGATGAGGTCTCGCCAAGTTGCCCAGGCGGGTCGTGAACCCGTGGGCTCAGGCAATCCACTTACCTCAGCCTCCCAAAGGCGCAGGCTGAGCCACCGAGCCTGGCTTTACACAAAATTCTTACAGGCAAACTTTTTTAGTTAAACCACATCTTGACAAACATATCCTCTATATTACTTTATCCTTGCCTTCCTTAAAAAAAAAGAAGTATTCCATTGTGTAAGAGATAGTTACAATGTGTTAAGTAAAAAAATAAATAAATAAAACACATTCTAAGAGAAGACTGGTATAAGAGGATCCCAATTTTCATAATTACTCTAACAATGCATATTTTAGGTACTAGCATTTAGGCTAATTTGGTTTTTATTTGCCTGGTAGTTTTCTGAGCCCGGCAGGTCAAGGCTGTGGTGGCCGTGCATTCCATCCTGGGTGACAGAGACTCCAACTCAAAAAAAAAAACAAAAAAACCACACACTCACACACACACACACACACACACACATATCTCCTAACACACTTGACTCTATAGGACAAACTTAGAAGTGAAACTGCAAGAACAAAAAAGCAAGTATAGTTTGACTTTGAGAGATACTACCCTATTGTTTTCTTAAAAATGTTGTACCAATGTACAATAACACTTATGAAAATATCTATTTTCCCAACACTATGCAACCCTAAATATTACTCTTTTCATTTTAGCCTCAAATGGCTAACAAATTATTCCAACCATTAATTGACTATATAAACATATAAAGGGTACACATGTGTATATAAACATATATTCTAATATATACATATATGTGTATATATATGTGAGTGTATGTGTATGTATATACAAGCATACACACATGCACATAAAATAGTTTTTTTTTTTTTTTAAGTCAGGGTCTCACTCTGTAGTCCAGGTTGGAGTGCAGTGGCAGGATCATAGCTCACCACAGTCTCATGTCCTGGGCTCAGGGATCCTTCCGCCTCAGCCTCCCAAGTAGCTGGGACTACAGACCTACATTGCCACGCCCAGCTAGTTTTTTAATTTTTCTGTAGAGGCGAGGTCTTGCTATGCTGCCCTGGCTGGTCTCCAACTCCTGGGCTCAAGCAATCTGTCCGCCTCAACCTCCCAAAGTGCTGGAATTACAGGCATGAGCCATCACACCCAATGCACACCATTATTTTTTTCAGGAAAAAAAAGCGTAAGTGATTTTTTTTATTACAAGATACTTTCACATTATACTTAATACATATTATATTGTCTGAAATCATTATGAGTATGCATTACTTTTAAATCAGTGAAAAACAATATTCCTTTTTCCTTCTGAGAAAGAGAATTCCTTAGCTTTATCTGCAAGCAACTAAATTAAACAGTTCTCACAATATGTGTCTCCATATGAATGACATCATTATTTCTTCCAAAATGCTGTTAACTGGCTGACCATTTGAATAAGTCAAACTAAACTATTTGCCTTCCCCACTGGACCCTGAAAATAGACCTGCTGATTTAAATAAGAAGAGGTCAACAAGGGAGCCATACAATTTGAAAATTTGAAAAGACATCACTGAGTATGAGGTAATTTCTAACATGCTAAACTTGGGCTACACTATCAATCAACTGCATCTAAAATACCGTCAATAAAATTCGTAGCAAAGTGTAAAAAAAAGAACAGTAAATTTCAAGTAAAAATAGTCCCCAATCCACCATGTACAAGCTTTGTGACCCTGGATAGATCAATCAACCTTTCTGGACCATAGTTTCTTTAACTTTCAAAGAAGAATGACATTGGAAAATAACAGGATTGTTATGGGGCTAAAGTAAAATAGCAAATTAGAAACACCTTATAAATTATAGTTTTTATTAATAAAATTGTATTTAGTTTTATTCATTCAATTTGAGCACAATCATACAAGTAAATCTTCAACAACAACAAAAAATACAATCCAAGACCTCGCTGCACATGAAAGGGACCATTAGACACAAATGCTTCCCTAGGGATGCAGGGATCCACCGATCCACGCTGAAACCTGAGGAAGCCCAGCAACCCCAGGCTGCAGAGCAGGGCTCCCGGGGCAGGTTGGAGTGGCTCTGCAGCATTCCATTCATTCAACAAACGCTCATGAGTACCCCAACCAGGCTCATAATGGGAGAAATACAAATTTAAACTAGACTGCAAACCATTTTTCACCTACCAGATCAGCACAGTCTGTTGGTGATGCTGTGGGAAAGGCACTAATATACAAAAGAACTCCCAGTGGCCAACATTGCAGTATCTACTAAAACTACAAGTACAAACTCTCTTCAACCCAGTATTTCCACTTGTTGGAATTAACCCTACAGGTATACTAGCACTCATACAAGACAATATACTTATAAAGTTACTCAATGCAGTGTACTCTGTGCACAGAAAAAAAAACTGGAACAATCCAAATGCCCAATAGGAACCAGTTAAATAAATTATGGTAGATCTATTTAATGCAAAACTGTGCAGAACTGGCTAGACATGGTGGCTCATGCCTATAATCTCAGCACTTTGAGAGGCCAAAGCAGGAGGATTGCTTGAGCCCAGAAGTTCAAGATCAGCCTAGGCAACATAGCAATTTTCATCTCTACAAAACAATAAAAAATATAAATTTGCCAGGCGTGGTGGCACGCACCTGTAGTCCCAGATACTCGGGAGGTTGAGGTGGAAGGATCGCCTGAGCCCAGGAGGTTCAGGCTGTGAGCCATCATTGTGCCACTGCACTCCAGCCTGGGTGACAGAGTAAGACCCTGAAAAAAAGAAGAGGTGAAGTCCTACTAGGTGCCAAGAATTGATTCAAGTATTGGGAACAAAACTGGGGAGGCTAAAGAAGCTCCATGTTGAATGCTAATCTGCCATGTTGACTTTTAATTAACTCCAATTCTGAGAAGGTCTCTAAAATTTTCCATTTACCTATTGTTCTTTGTATAAGCACAGGTTAGACTTACCACAAAGTCTGCCCTTACATCAAACAACCTTGATGTTACTATACTTCAAGTGTCCTATATATTTCTTCTGAAGCACCCTTTTCCTACAGTCAACCCAGGGTCTGGGGGATAATGGTGCGGGGATCTACTATCTTGTCTCACAGGCCTGAGACACAGACAAGGCATCTGTTCATAAGCTCCTACTAAATGTTTCTTTTTAAGAA